GTTGTTACTTGGAATTGTGATCAGCTGGGTATAACTTAGACTTGTAATAGAGTCATAGAATCCCAGAGTGATTGGGGTTGGAAGGGACCTCATAGCTCACCCAGTTCCAGCCCCTGCCACGGGCAGGGACACCTTCCGCTAGAGCAGCTTGCTCCAAGCCCCTGTGTCCAACCTGGCCTTGAGCACTGCCAGGGATGGGGCAGCCACAGCTTCTCTGGGCACCCTGTGCCAGCGCCTCAGCACCCTCACAGGGAAGAGCTTCTGCCTAAGAGCTCATCTCAGTCTCCCCTCTGGCAGCTTAAAGCCATTCCCCTTGGCCTGTCCCTACAGGCCCTTGTCCCAAGCCCCTCTCCAGGCTTTCCTGCAGCCCCTTCAGGCACTGGAGCTGCTCTAAGGTCTCCCCTTCAGGAGCCTTCTCTTCTCCAGAGCAGGGCTGCTCCAGCCCTCACAGCATCTTCATTCTCTGATGCAGTTTGCTGCTCTGAACAATGACTCACATCAGCACCGTGGAAGAGGTGGAACCACTGCACATGTGATCGATGGGACAGGAATTCTCAGTCTGCTGAATGTCAAACCACAGCCCAGGCTCACACCATTCTGGTCATTCCTGCTGCCGTTCTTGCAGCCATGCAGTCACTTCAGCTGCTTTAGTGACTTCTAGCTGCTCAGATGCTGGGTTCCCTGCAGCATGGAGTGGAGTTTTGGTCCATAGCTCTGCAGTGGTACTACTAAAGCAACAGAATAGGGACTAACTCACTGCAGTAAGTTACTGCGTGTTTGTACATCTTCAGTATTCAGACAGTCTGTGTGCTGGCTCTGTTAGTTTTGCATCTGCTGTGCAGATTGTGATTGTGCATCATACAGGTGATGTGTGAGACACAGCACCACCCTGCATCCTTTAAGAGGTGAAGAACTGTGGTTTTTCCTACTATTCTTGTGGCAAGAATCATTCCTTTCTGTTAAGGAAAGTCTTGGCTGGTTTGGTAAGCAGCAGTCCTGAAATCTCCTTTAATAGATCTCTTCCACAGCTTGTTTTCTGTTCATTGTGTTCAATGCTTCTATCGTCCACCTGAATCCTGCTCCCAGGGCTTTACAAGTGCTATTTCCATCGATGTGGCTCTGTGCAGCCGACATTCAGTGAAGCCAGCCGAGACACAAGCCACAGCCTCACTTCTCGCACCCTCTTCTATGAAATGCGAGTTTGGTTTCAGTCCCCACCGTCGTGCTCAGCTCCTGTACCCATGAATAATCCCTCTTAAAGGATTAACCCTCCCGAAGGCGAAGGGATGGGAGAGGCTGTACCAAATAGCATCATTTATATTGGATGTTCCCGCTTTCATTCCGTGGCCATTTCTCCTGCTGTCACTTTCCCATCGCTGCGTTTTCAAGCGGCTCTTGCTGACCCAAGCATTTCTCTGCAGCTTTGCCCACGTGTTGGTCACAACCTGGGCTTTGATCTTTTGTCGATGCCTTCAGAACCCCCCGGGTTATGCCGCTGTGATTTGGGCTGTGTGAAACGTTGAAGCTTTCACTCCCTGTTTAGGCTCGGCAGTGTATTTATCTGCCAGTAAATCCCGTCCCCCACTTACTGACAGCCCAACGCTGCAGACCTTTCGGCATGGAGCAGTCGGGAGATGATGCAGAACAGAAAGGAGCAGCACAAGATGACTCAGAAAATGTTTCTGTTTTCTTCCTATTCTTGTACCTTCACCAAATGCCGCACGGTGCTTTAGAGCCCGAGGCTTTGCTGCAGGGAGTCATTGTTACTGTCCTGGCTCTGTGGTAGAGAAACAGAGGCAAAATGACTTGGTGAAGGTCACGCAGCCAGCTGGTGACTGAGCTGAGACTAAAACCCATCTCTCCTGTGCTTCACACACTAAAGCAGAATGAGTGCTGTGTCCTCCGGCAGGAAGCAAGGTAATGGTGGCAGAGCAGCAGCAGCAATGATTTAAAATTGTAGCTATTGATGCACAGTTTTGCATGCTGATTGCATGTAATTGCAGCTCTCGATGGATATTGAGGCCTGGGAGCAAGCTGCTCTAGTGGAAGGTGTCCCTGCCCATGGCAGGGTTTGGAGCTGGAGGAGCTTCAAGGTCCGGTCCAACACAAACCAGGCTGGGATTCCATGATTCCATACATTTAATGCCTACATTACTCTGCACAAAGTTTATTTGTTGTTTCTTCATTATGCATTTAATTTAACTAATTTTCAAGCATGCTGTTTGAAGAAGGGCGATGAACAAGTGCCAAAGGGAGTGTCTCTGGCTGATCTGCACCAGTGCTGTTGGTAACTCCTAGTGCCGAGCTCAGGGCTTGTGCCCCAACAAGTTCACAAGCTCACACTTGATACACCCTTTAGTGTGATGGGATGGAGATAAGAGCAGGCAGTGGATGGCTCTGCTGCTCTGAGCCTGCTGAAGCTCTGAAGAGACTACACCCATCTCTTACTCATTTGTTCTCTCCTTCCATTTATATAAAAAGGTCCATCTACAGCTTGACAGCAGCTGCTTTCTCTGTGTTACTCATTCAGCACAGAAAGAAAATGTCCTGTCATAAAATAATGCCATGCAGATAACACAGATGACTTTGCAATCTCGTGCAGGTTGGGTGAAGGTTGCATCAGAGATCAACACTTGTTGGTGCTCTCTGTGGGTAGAGACATTACTCAGCATATACTTCCTTTATGTGCCTCCAACGTGCATAACCCCACGTTGCAATGAAGCTGAACAACCCACAAAATTCATTGCAAAGTGATAAATAATCTGTGGAAATCACCTAGCACGAGATACGGCCACCAACAAGACAACCAAACCTAGGAAAAGGTTCACATCAAGGCTGAGTATGTAATATTTGAGGGAGGGAGGGAATAAACCCTGCGGTGTTAAAATGGATGTACTGAGAGCAATATCTTGATTTGACTCGAAGCACCAGGCCATCCATACATCCATGGGTTGCTCACTATGAGGATCTCGCTGTTGGACTTGCTCACCAATAGTTCAATCCCTGCCACTCAGGATGCTGGTTTTGCACCCCTAAATACTGCACTTGGTGGAAAGAAGACACAAGAGGGATACAAAATGCTTTCCAAAGGCAAAGAAGGTGAGGACAAACAGCAGAGCAAACAAATAGGTCTGACAAGTAAGAATCTGGAAGTGAAGACATGAAGGGATGTTGGATTGTTACCAAAATTCCTGCTGTCAGTTTACTCACCAATGCATTCATGGCCAGAGGTGAGCATCACGGGTATCATAGAATCATTGGGTGGTTCAGGTTAGAAGGGACCTTAAAGCCCATTAAGTTCCAACCACCCTGTCAGATCATTTAGCCCACTGTCAGATGGGTTTGAAAGATGCAACCAGATACAAGCACTGTCCAAACGGGTTAGAATGGAGGGAGAGGGGGAGATGTATTGTATGTTAGAATTTGCAAGGGCCTGTAGGGCCAGGCCAAGGGGAATGGCTTTAACCTGCTAGAGGGGAGACTGAGATGAGCTCTTAGGCAGAAGCTCTTCCCTGTGAGGGTGCTGAGGCGCTGGCACAGGGCGTCCAGAGAAGCTGTGGCTGCCCCATCCCTGGCAGTGTTCAAGGCCAGGTTGGACACAGGGGCTTGGAGCAAGCTGCTCTAGTGCCCAGAGGAGCATTTTCACCCGCAGGGTTTGGCAGTTGAGATGACAGAGGCAGCGTGAGCCTCAGGATGTGGACATAGAAAAAATACCTTCCCCACCTCACGTCTGAGCTGCCGCCAGCCCGCGGCTGTTCTCTTACGATTTCCTTCCGGCACAGGCAGCACTCACTAATTTTAGACCCAGTTACATGTAAAAGTCACATCTCGGGCTCGGAAACGGCTTGCTGCTTCTAAAGAAGCCTTGCCAGGTAGCTACTACCCTGTAAATGCGAGCACCAGGTCTCTTGGGTTGTTAGGAGGAAACAAGGGCCGCGCTCAACAACGCGGTTTGAAGGTATCCAGGGGCAGACAACACAATAAGTCCATTTGGGCAACAGCAGTTAGAGAAACACATAGAGTGCTTAACAAAAATTGAAGGGAAGATTCTAATACCCAGATATAGCTGTTCCACTGCAAAAAGTGATTTCATATTAATAAAGTGGGTAACTCTAGATAGGTTATAGGTATACAGGTTAAGAAGACCCCTGTATTTCATTTTCAGGGTGTCAGCAGATCCAAAGCCATGTGCCTAATAAATGCTGTTCCACTGTGTCACGTCATGCTTTACACAGCAAGGTTGGAGTGCTGACAAGCTGCTGTGCGATGCTAAATCGCTGGCCCATACTGGAGAATCTGTCCAGTGACTAATCCCAAGGGATTTAAAATCAGCCTGGCAGATGATGGAGGCTTGTTCTTACCTGATGTGTTCTTTATTAGTTAACGGGAAGGAAAATGAAATTGAGTTAAGAAAAGATTTCATGTTCTTGGTACCCGTGTGTGCTGTATGGTATATAAATCATGCTCGGTGTAGTGTCGCTTCATTAGGAGTGATCCCAAGATATTCCACACGTTTCCATCAGGATGTCTAAGGGATGGTTTTATCCATCTGAGCTGCAATCAGTTCCAGGGATGAAATGCTCCAAATATTCCAACCCAAACCTATTCTATGATTTAACAAGAGAATGATTTTGAATAGTAATCGAAGCATTTTGCACCCTGCAGCAATCACCCGGTTTGTATTTCCATTCCCATGGGAATGCAGGTTTTATGGGGTTTATGCTTGTGACAAAGTGAGGTAAGTTTAAGGTTGTGATGTAGTGGCCAAAACATTCCAGCAGCCACAAGACTTTCAGATTTGGAGGTTTTGGCCCATCCCTGGCAGTGTTCAAGGCCAGGTTGGACACAGGGGCTTGGAGCAAGCTGCTCTAGTGGAAGGGGTCCCTGCCCGTGGCAGGGGTTGGAGCTGGAGGAGCTTTATGCTCCCTTCCAACCCAAACCTTTCTATGACTGCTGTTTGGGGTCTCCGAGGCTGACATGTGCCATGATCATCACTCTGGGGGTTTTTAAACAGAGCTGCACCATCCCTCAAAGTAATCTTCCGATGTTCTGTGGAAAGCAGGGGTTTATATCCACCGACTGCCCATTCGTGGCTCGCAGGCAGGAGAGCAGCTCATCGGGGACCAGCATTTGCTCTTGAACCTCACCGGCCGCAGCGTGTCCCCACTGGTTGTCCAGGATGGAGCCACATCCCGCCTGCGTTGAGCTGAACGTGTGGCTTTGCCCGCTCTGGCTGTTGCTCAGGACGAGGTTGATGTGCTCCAGCAGGCAGACGTGGTGTCCCCCTCCCTCCCCGTCCCACGTGTGGGGAAAGGGGCTCGTGTAGTCTCTGAAGAAGAGGTTTGTCTCCGGTTCTGGGAGGGATGCTGGGGGCTGTGTTTGGTAAATATTGGCTGCTACGTATCCCAGCGCGTTCCCATCGGACACCTGAGGTTTGTAGTCACTGATGTGCTCGAAGGGCATGGCGGTAGCAGGCACCGTGCTCTCCTTGAGCTCCCCGTCCTTGGGGATCTCTCTGCTGGGATTCCTTCTGGTGACTATGTTCTTGTACTCCTCGTGTGCTGGCATCTCCTCTACTTCCATAACTGCGGGGTCCCTGGTGTCCACGAACGGCTCATGGAGGCTGGTCCTCAGGAAATCACTGTTTTCCTGCAGGGAAAATGATTGGGGTAGCAACAAACTGGCAGATTTTTACCAACGGGAGAGCTATCATTGGAGCATCCCAAGGAAGAAATGGGGCAATGACTTGGTGTCTGCATCCTGTCTTCCAACCTCCCTCATCCAGTCCCCTCTGTGAATGAGACTGCAGTGAGGTGGATGAGAGAAGACAGGGAGCAGCTGTGCCTGTCTCTATGCTTCTGCATGCCCTTCAAGGCAGCTTGCATCCACTGTGGTCAATATAATATATGCAATAAAAAGCACATTGAGGCAAGGTTTAAAGACCTCAGCTAAGCTGGGCTCCCATGCGCTTTGCAACTGCCTGGGTAAGAGATTCCTGATCAGTTCCTGGTCCATTAGAGCTCAGTTCTTTTCCCACCCTTGTTTCTCACAGCTCTGGAGCAAGCTTTAAACTAAGGGGAGGCAAGTGAAGCAAAGCTGGGAGCTCACGGTGCAGTTACCTGGAGCAACTTCACCATGCTGCTGTTTTCCATGTGGGGGATGTCTTCAAACAGCCATTTTGGCAGGATTGACACAACCAGGGCATGAATTCTGTGCCAAAAAAAACAAATAAACCCCAAGGTGTTAGTCCGTGCTATTAGTCACTTATTCTTCATGCGGGATGAAATGTCGCTCAGTAGGAGGGCACACAAAATGCATCCATCCTTTAAGGATGGCCTGGAAGCTCCATTTGGACTCCAGCTCTTCATCTTTCAACCTTTTACCCCCCCACCCTGATTTGATTCGTGGTGGTGCAAGCCTGGAAGCTAAATGCTCTCCTCTCCCCTCTTTCATGGTTGGTTGGGAAGGTCTGACCAGCACCACGTGCCATAGAGGTCTCCCATTCCCATGGGTCTGCATCAGGGACAGCAGTGCCTGGACACCTGGACATCCCCATTCCAGTTAAAGGGCAACCTGGGATAGATGAGCACCAGTTTGTGAGGGTGCCTAGGGAACAGCAGGTAAAAAACAGTGTTAAGATGCTCTCTGTTGAGTTTTCCAGGTGCTCCAGTCTTCAATCTCTGCCTTCAGCATCCCCTCCTTTGCCAAGACTGGGATGTGTTTTTACCCTAGGATAAAACTTACCAATGGAGATTATGGTTTTCCTCTCTTTTTCTACCCCTGCCTTCATATCTCTATAATAATATCACATGGCCCTCAGGCCGGCCTTTACAGAGGAATGACTTTTTACCCTATGTTGGTCCCTGACTCGCTACAGAGCACACAGATGTCTTTTCATACAGCAATCCAGCTAATGGGTGGACTTGCCCTCAGAAAGAGCAGGCTGCAGTGAAAAGGACTGGTTTCTGCAGGCAGCTTTCAAACACTCTGGAACAAAAGCATGAGTTGGAGATGAGGAGCAGAAACTGGAGGTCAAAGTCATACCTTTTTCTGGCTGATTTTTTAAACATCAGAATTACGACAACAACCGATAATACGACCACGCTGATGCCCAGTCCCAGGAAAAGTCCAATGTCATCATCTGAAACAGGACAGAGAGGAATCAGGTCAGCCCGTTGCCCCATTGCCATGATGTCTGGTGATGTAAAGGGCAGATCTTTGCTAAGACAGCCTCCAGCATCTCACTTGCCCCTTTGCTCCTCAGTTAAGGAAGCAAAGGCAAAACTGTGACCAGAGCATCCCTGTGCCCAGGGCAGGAGGTCACTCAACTGATACTAAGAAGTGTGGTCACTGTGTTTAACCATTTCCTACCCAGCCTGACCTTCCAGAAACGTGGAAGTGAATTCTTCAGCTTTCATTGGTTTTGCTTTGGTTTAAGTGATGCAGCAGATCATAACAGCAGAAGATGTGCGCACCAGAGCATAACCAAAGTTGGAGAAGTGGATGGGAAATGCTTAAATGAGTCTCTGGTTCAAAGTGCAAGATTGAAACAGCCTGCTGCCATTGTGCTACATTACATTAGCTTCTATTTCCTTGCTCTCTTACCTCCTACTTGTAACATACAACGTAGTGTAAGTCTCATTAGGAAGCGAAACTGAAGGCACGCACTATGTGGATGCAATCCATCCCTGAGAGCACTGCGTGTGTCTCATGTCCCCATTGAGTAAAAAGCTGCTTTGGTGGCCCTGACCTCTCCAAAGCACAAAGGAGCTTTCGCTTCCCCATCACCAGGTGCTGCAGGTGCTGCTCAGGCTCCAATTTCCACTTCTGGTCAAGGAGAAAGGTCCGGCTTACCCAGCCTCAGCTCCTGTGTTCTTACCATGGGAGAGCTCGCTGTAGGTGCTGCTGTAGGTGCTCTCCAGGAGCTGGTCTTCTGCAGGGACTTAGGGAGAGAAAGAAAATGCCCATAACTTCATCTATGGGATGACAGAGAAGCTGTGCCTTACCTTGGTTTTGGTAAATCTTATTCAGAAAAACTAATAATGAGAAAAAGTAAAGCCCCCTAAAGACATTAATAACTCCAGCTCTGGCTGGACTCTACATGATCTCCTACTTCTCATGGATCCAATTAAACAAGATGCTGATGAATACATAACACCAACTATTGAACACCTTCCATGCACATCGCTCCCCTCAGCACCTGAAACAAGAATTCCATCTTCCTGAGGAACTGTACATCATTCTTCATGAGCACCTGCAGATGCTTTCCCAAAGTGCCTGAATACCATGGGATTGAATCTGCTGATAGTATCTGGTTGTGTGATGGGCTGTGCAGGGAGGGAAGATCTGCAGCTAAAGAGCAAGAAGTGTCTCTTTGCTAAAATAAGCTTTCTTCATGGCTAAATTCAGCAATTCCCTTGGGATCTGAGAACCTGGCACAGGGTGCCCAGAGAAGCTGTGGCTGCCCCATCCCTGGCAGTGTTCAAGGCCAGGTTGGACACAGGGGCTTGGAGCAAGCTGCTCTAGTGGAAGGGGTCCCTGCCCGTGGCAGGGGATGGAGCTGGAGGAGCTTTAAGGTCCCTTCCAACCCAAACCATGCTGGGATTCCATGATCTCTTCTCCTTAACAAACACCAACACAAACCCAAGGCCAAATGCAATTTTTTCCTCTCTAAGGGAAAGAAAAATCCCAGGAAAGGTGTTGCCTCTGATTCTGTGCGTCTGAAGCACACGCATCTCCTAGCAGAGCTCCTGGAGTTCAGTATTTCACTCCCCTAAGCGGTGTCTCCATTACAAGCCCACTCAGCTGAAGTTGCTGCAGATGCTTCAAAACATCTTTCAGGTATATGGGATTGTGGAAGGAAAGTGAAGGAATACGTGTTGTGCAGCCTGGAATTCAGCAGTTCTGTGTCAGTGGCACACTGAACATGTATACATGAACAGTAATGCCTTCCTGGTGATTGACAGGCTCATCTGAATGGGATGAGGAGCGAGTTTCAGCCTGTGGGGTCAAGCTGGAGGACTCCACTGTGTGTGCTTTGAAGGCAAACCTGGCCACAGACACGAGCTTCACTGCTGCCCCTTATTGGTACTTTCCCACCTGAGCCCCCAAGCTTTGTTAAAGGAGTCTGTGCTAAGGATGAAGTCTCTATTTTATTAAGCATTTAACACATACCTAAGCCATTGCTAGTGATAAGGCTAGAGCATCCTGCTTCTGACACCCTGCTCTTTCCCGTTCTCTGGGCAGGCACCTAATAGGCAACACCTAATAGCCAGGGCTAACAGCCATGAGCAGCCTGGGATGAACTGGCCAGGAATATTTGCTCCTATTTGGGGTGAAAAATGGCATACGTGCCCTTCCCAAAGCCACGAGGGGTGCTGACCACAGACACGGAGCTGGTTTGGCCCAGGGAAAGCATCTGAGCAGCTTCAAAGAGCCTATTTAAATAGCACGGCAGCAGGGATGGGGAGCTGATGACCTCCGCAGGTGCTACCGGTGCCTGCAGCTACTGCTGCCTCTGTCAGGGGATGCGGGGTGCTAACAGGGCTGAACGGCCCTGAACTGCCTCACCTGGAACCTCTACCCACACCCGTGCCCGGGGCTCTATTTAAGCTCATCCCTGGGTCTCCCTTCCCTTCCTAGGCTGTGCTGGAAGAGCTGGATCTGACTTCATGGCTTCCTTATCTCTATGGACCTGCCCAACCACCACTGAACACTGCAGCATCCATGAAGGTTTTGCCTGTGCTGTGGCATCCATGGAGCAGGTACAGTGGTGCTGGGAGGTGTCCTCGGTGCTCAGATGTTGAGCTGTGCATGGGTTATCCTGGGTGAGGACCAGCAGCAGGATGGAACAGCTCAGGGACCTGGTATGCCCAGCTCTTGAGGACGCCCAAAGCCAACCCATGCAGTGCTGGAGGTGAAGATGGTCCTCGCTTTCCTTTGTGAACTGGTCCATGCTCTTCTCTAAAAGAGTTTCCAGAATGGAAGGCCACTTTCTTCGCACCCAAGATAAGGAAGAGCAACCTGCGGCGTGGCCATTTGGTCTCTGTAAACGTTGTTTTGTGTATGTTGGTTTATCTGTAATGTTTCCCTGTCAATGTGCAAAGCAGCAACCTCATCCCTTCTATCACGGAAAGGGAGAATGGTGTATCTTGTGAAATGAGGGTGGCTCTCCTGTGTTAGGTCTGTGCACAGGAGCAAAGATCAGCTAGGGAAGGCTTTCATACAGCTGCATTGATAAAAAGATGCTATTTTCATGTCCTGCAGCCAAGAGGCTCCCACCCAGAGTCCTGCTTTCCTCTGGTCAGTGGTGGGGGGGTTATGGTTTGTTTCTAAAGCCTAATTCCACAAAGCTGGCAGACTGTGGGAGCACCAGGAATGAAGCAGCAGGCTGAGCTCTGCAGCCCCATTGCAGCAAGCAGCAGCTTCTCCACCCAGCCAGGCTTACCTCGGCTGGAGCTGGGTTTGCTGGCTCCATCGGGGTAGACTGCATATACTGACACATTGATGTGACCTCCAGCTCCTGCCTCTGCTGGAAAGAAGCAAGGTTTGCCTTTAAAATGTGGTTGTGAGCTGCTGTGGAAGCTCTAGGCTTGCCCAAGTGCTTGTTATTGCATGGTGAAAGTAGATGGAGGTGTGGGGGGATGCCCAGCTCTGGGTCTTTCGTCTCCTTGGAATAGCCATTGCGTGAGTTGTCCCCCAAAACACACGTGGGAGAGCAAAACCTTCATCATGTAACTGGCTAGGAAGGACTCCAAAGCCCAATAAACATCAGGATTAACGTGGGATGCAGGAATGGAGTGGGATGGGTCCTGAGATGCTTGTGCTGTTGGGCTCAAGCTGGGGTGGTAAGGACCTGCAGGCTTGTCCCCCTGGGCATGGTGGGGAGGAGAGGTGCTAAAGCAAGTCTTGGTGCATCTCCTGTGCTTGGAGAGGCCTCCACGGGTCTGGTGTGCCTTCCCTGCCTGCCAGCTCACTTGTCACTTCATTCTCTGTCCCTGTAACCTTCATCTGGAGGTCCAAATCCTCCTGACTGTCCTCATGTCTCCTACTGCTTCATTCCCCCTTGCTCCCTAAGGGCTCTTTATGGTCCCACTCCCCAAAACCAGTGGACAGGGGCTCAACTGCAAATGAAGCTCTGCCTTTAACGTAGTTTGGCTTTATAATAACACCGTGATGAACTGCACCAAGCAGCAACAAGACTCTTGGAACATACCTTGGATGTCTGTGTATGTTGCCTGGTACGGGACTTTCTTCCAGAAGTACTGCTCCTTTGGGCTGTATGGGGTGGTGGAAACCCATTCCACGATGAACCACAGAGGGGGCCTCCTGCTGGGGCTGGGGGGCTGCCAGGCCACCAGGACCTTGCTCTGGTTCTCAGGCTTGACCTCCACAGCCACTGGTGCTGGGAACTCTGTGGAGAGAGATGGAAAGGGGTCTGTATGCCAACCTCATCTTGGAAGAGCAAGGGAATGGAAGGGTCAGCTAAGCACAAGCAAAATGAGTCTTTCAGGGTAATGTTTAAGGACTGAAGAGGGAGCCTCTAACACTTTGTGGTTGTTCTGCCCACCACAGCCTCCAACCATCACCTCGCCCACAAGTCCTTCTCTGTTCACAAATGGGTCCAGCGGGTGCCTTCCCAAGCCGGTTCCCTCACCGTTTGTGTTGGGCAGTTCTCCTCCACAGTGCTCCATGAACCTCCCAACCTGTCTCCTCTCTGCTGTATTGCATTTCCAACAGACGTCTGCTAAGTTAAGTCCCCCACAAGAATAAGAACTAGAGACTGTGCTTATAGGCTGTTTCATCTGCCTCTTCACCCAGATTGGGTGGTCTAGAACAGACTCCCACCATGATATCTGCTCTGTTGTCCTTCCCCCCTGGTTTGTACCCATAAACACCCAATCCTGTTGACACCAGCATTAAGCTCTAGACAGTCCCTTACCCCACTGCCTCTTCTTTTGTCTGTCCCTTCTGAAGAGTTTAGAGCCATCCACTGCAGCACTCCAGTTGTGCCGGGCATCCCACCATGTTTCCATGCTGGCCACTATGTCATCACTGTTCTCCTTCTGCACAATGGCTTCCAGCTCCTCCTTTTCTTGTTTGTTACCCATGCTGTGTCCATCAGTGCAGATCATGGAATGGTTTGGGTTGGAAAGGACCTTAAAGCTCACCCAGCTCCAACCCCTGCCATGGGCAGGGATACCTTCCACTAGAGCAGCTTGCTCAAGGCCTGTCCAACCTGGCCTTCAGTGGGGCTGTTGGTCCCACCACGCTTTTGGAGGGAGAAGCCCTAATTCCTACATGACTGTTCTTAGACCCTTTCGTGTTTTCTAACACATCAGGAGCCCTTGCATCTTTGCTGGCATATGCATCTCCACCCTCTGCCTTCACTGAGATGGCAGACTGAAGGACCTGATGGCCACAGTCCCTCCAACATTAGTGTGCTGCCCCAGGCTTACCTCTAGTGAGGCTGGTTTTATCCCTTTCCCCCTTCAAATCTAGCTTAAAGCTCTTTAAACAAGCCCTGCTAGCTCTTGTTTACTATGTCTATATGTGCTCACATATAGGTATCACAAAAACACACCTTCAGCTTTGTCATGCCTCTTCTGAAATGCTTTACTTGTCATTTCTTGCAAGAAGGGCTATGATTCTGATAAGTAGGAGAGATTAGAGTGGTTTTTCCACCTTCTTTCTCTCTGGTCTCTTTTTAGTAACAGATTTGTCCTCAGTTTGAATGGGGCTTTCCCCCCTGTTGCTCATTAAGAGTCAGCTTTCACAAATGAGAAAGTGATGGTTGTGGGGAAAACCACAGCCTGTGGTGCAGGGAAGCGGCCTGGGAGGGTTGGTTTTGTCCCCTCCCTTTGTGCTTGCAAGGACCCAGCTCACAGCAGGGGCTGTGTCCCTGGCACCGAGCTGTTTTGCACCGAGCCCATGGCACAGCCCATCCCTGCCAGGCAACACAGGCAGGATTAACTCATGTTTAAGCTTGTTGCTGCAGCCTTCAGAGGCCAAGGGCTGAGGTACGTGACTGTGGAGCATCTCCATCTCCGGGGAATGCCGGCCTTGCCTGAAGGATGCTGTGTTCCCTCAGCAGAGCAGGCAGAGCTCTGCTGGCCCTTTTCCCCTTGCTTTCATAGAACCCCAGCCTGGTTTGTGTTGGAAGGGACCTTAAAGCTCCTCCAGCTCCAACCCCTGCCACGGGCAGGGACCCCTTCCACTAGAGCAGCTTGCTCCAAGCCCCTGTGTCCAACCTGGCCTTGAACACTGCCAGGGATGGGGCAGCCACAGCTTCTCTGGGCACCCTGTGCCAGCACCTCAGCACCCTCCCAGGGAAGAGCTTCTGCCTAAGAGCTCATCTCAGTCTCCCCTCTGGCAGGTTAAAGCCATTCCCCTTGGCCTGGCCCTGCAGCCCCTGCTGAAGAGGGCAGCTCCCAAGCCGTGATGCACAAGCTGCCCTCCCCTGCCGACAAAAGCCCATCTCAGTTAAAGCTGCATTCGGCGTGCGTTGGATCCTACCTTCGAGGCTGTTGCTGCCCTGGGTGAGGGTGATGTTGGCGGGGCTGGAGCCCCCCTTGGAGTTGTGAGCGGTGACACGGAGGGTGCGGGCCCCCGGGGGCACCAGGACACTGCACCCGGCGCTGGAGGCGTTGCAGAGCAGCACCCTTCCCACGGGGATCTCGGCGGTCACGGAGTAGCCCAGGATCCTCCCGCGGGCATCCTGGGGTGCCAGGGGCTGTGGAAGGTGAGACACAGACCCTCCATGGGGATGGGTGCGTGGTCCAGCACTGAGACACCCCCGTGCAGGACAGACACACACCCCCCCCTTGGCTGTGCAACACGGATGGGTTTTGCAAGGAGGGAGAGGTTTTGCCCCAAAGGCCACTTTGGGGTCTCTTGTTCTCCTCATCTCTTTGGTCACAGGGCTCTTTAGGAAGGGCATTGCCTTCCGATGCCTCTTGGCGCTGTTCTCCCAAGGGGAGGAGCGAAGCACACGGAAACTGCGCTGCAGCTGCCGAGCCCAGAGCTTACCTTGATCAAGACCGTCACCTCGCGGCTGCCGTTCGGGAACGCCGGGCCCAGGCGCCGCCAGACATCGGGAGCTGCCGCGGGGGCTGCAGGAGGGAGCGTGGGATGAGCAACCCCGAGTGGAATCGGCTGGGGCTTCCCACCCGTCCCTGCCATGGGGCTCCCATCCACGCACAGCCTTTGCAGAAAGCCCCACTTGGCTGATGCCTCCATGCACGGCTGGTTCCCATGGGGCTGGTGATGGTGATGGAGCCCAGCAGCAGCAGGGATGCAGGTTGGGAGCCCAGCAGCAATGTCGTTGTGCACAGCTCTGCCACCGTGGGGAGGAAGTGACCCAGACTACAAACAGCAGTGAGCGATGCTTTTTTAGGGCAAGCTTGTCTCCAGCTTCCTCGCTGTAACCAGGACGTGAGGGCATTGCTCGCTGGGTGTCTCCGTTGCTGCAGTCTGAGGTATCTGAGTGTCTAAGCTCATCCTGGTGTTAGTAACCAGGATGCAATGGTGGAGGTTGACCCAAGACAACGGGTGTTTGGGGCTGGTGGGACACCTTGGATGATGTGGGTTTTCCAGCTAGGGCAAGAGGTGCTCCCTGCTGCTGGGGAGCAAAAAAGCTGCCAAAGATGGATAAGCAGATCCCATCCCTCTTTCTGTATGGAAAACCCTGTGCTTGCAAAGCCAGTCTGGTTTCGCTTCTGTTCCTCCCATACTGCAGCAGCCTCAGGAATCTGCCTAAATCACCACGACCTGCAGCACGCCACAGGGCCAGGAGTGCTTGGAGGGCATGAGATGAGCTGCCAGCTTGTGCCAGTGCTCATCCCTCAGCGGCAGTGTGGGGATGGTGATGTGGCGGCAGTCCTGGACCACAGCATCATGCCTGATACCTGCCAGCAGTGTCTTCAGGGATGTGCCAGCTCCCATTCCGTGGCCAGGCTCCCACAGAGCATCCCGAGGAGCTGCTGGCTGCTTGGGTAACGCAGCGCTGAGGCTGAGCTTACCTGCCTCGGGGGTGGTGTAGAGGAAGGGGGAGCTCCAGGCGCTCCAGGGGCTGTCGGCAGCGCTGAGCCGGCACCGGACCTGGAACACGTACTGGGTGTCACTGTGCAGGCTGTGCTGTGAGCGGGAGCCGTGCTGGGCCGTACTGTCCCACACCTCCACCTGCAAGGGAAGCAGGGTGCCCGTGGCTGGCGGTGCTGAAGCGAAGGGGTGGGTTTTGAATGACCCCAGGTGCTCCCATGGCCTGTGGGTGCCCAGGGGTCTCCAGCAGCCCCGGCAGCTGTGCCCATGGCAGGCTGGGGCTGCAGGCTCTCACTTGCCACGCCGCGCTGCCCGTGGCTTTGTGCCGCTCCTCACAGCGCACGCTCCCCAGCAGCGTCTGCCTCTTCCAGTGGATGGTGGTGATGGGAGCTGAGGTCTCTGTTGTCTCTGCACCGGTGACCAGGGGCAGAGCGGGGATCACTGCGGGGAGAGAAGAGAAAGCATGGGTTTGGGGGCTGGCACACATAGCAGGCTGTCCTCCCTCACGTGAGCTGCAGTGCTCATGCAGGTCATGCAACCATGGAATGGTTCGTGTTGGAAGGGAGCTTAGAGCTCATCCAGTTCCAACCTTCCCTTGGTGTCCCTAAAGTGATGTCTCGGGGCAGTGCCTGTGGTCACGCAGAGCCCCAGCACACAGAGCAGCTCAGGATGGAGGGACAGACGGATGGGGATGGACATACCGAGCTGCTGCAGGTTGAGGTGCTGAGGGGCTGAGCGGGCAGCACCCAGCACGTTGCTGGCCTGCACCCATGCTGAGTAGTGGTTCCCACCATGCAGGGTGCTCACTGGTACCAGTGAGCCCGCAGGGAAGACCTTCTCCTCCTCTTCATCATCATCGTCATCCTCCTTAGCATCCTCTGTCACTGCTGTCCGCACTCTGGGAAGAAGACAACATGGTCAGAACCCCTCAGGCATCATGCACCCGTTGGAAAAGCAGCTGCAGCTCTCTGTAGGTTGCAGCTTGTGACTGGGGCACAGTCATCTCCAAAGCCAGTGTCTGTCATTCCTAAAGCGAACTAGAAAGTGGTGCCCTCAGTTCTTGTCCTGCCTGTGGAGCACCTGTGTTGGAAGCATCACTGTTGGCAGAGAACATTCTCAGCCCTCTCTGCCCAGCTCCGTTTGAGCCCAAGCAGGCTTAGGCAGGTGGTTAATCACCTCCCTTCACAAAGCCTCCGTATGATGGGATTTAGTGCATTTGCTTTAACAACTGAGTCAGGCTGGCTTTGAAAGGCTGCCAGTCTTGTGTCACCTGGGCTTCGGTGGCAGGGAGCATCCCCGGCTGGGTAGGAAGGGCTGCGGCACGGAGCGCGGCTGCTTCGGGTTCAGTCTTTGCACCCGGCTGGAGTTTCAGTTTCGGGGTTTGGGCGGTGCAAGGTGCACGCACGGCTGCACCCTCAGCACTCCCTGCAGCTCAGAAAGACCAAGACCAGCGCAGGTGCATTGCTGTGCTGTGCTCCGACACGATGCAGCGCTCACGGCACTGAGCGCAGAGTCCACCCCACCGGTTCAAAGCCACGGTTTAACGTGTGGTTTGCAAGCAGGGGACCGGGAGCTTTGGGAAGTGTAAGTAGGGCACGGGTGCCAGCAGCAGAGCAGCCCTGGTGTCACCCACGTCTGTGGGCGACCGCAGCGCCATGTGCCGGCTCTGCCGGTTACCGCGCTCCCTCCTCGCCCTGTCTCCATCCCATGGGCTTCCTCTCGGCTCCATCCCGGTGCTTCCATCCCGAGGGAATTACCTGCGCAGGTGGAGGGTGTACTGGGTGGGCAGGTGGGTTGTCTGCCCTGTATCCCATGTGCATGCCATGTGTCCCGAGCGCTCCTGGATGGCGCAGGTCAGGTTGCTGGGGGGGTCCGGAGGGTCTGTGGAGGCAAAGTCAGGTAAAGAGTGTGGAAAGCCCCGACCAGTGCTGCAGCTTCCTCGGTGCTGGCGGCTTCACAAAGGCCTGCAGAGCTGTGACCAGCTCTGGGGCAGCAGCACAAGAGGGACGTGGAGCTGCTGGAGCGAGTGCAGAGGAGGCCATGGAGATGCTGCGAGGGCTGGAGCAGCTCTGCTCTGGAGCCAGGCTGAGAGAGCTGGGCTGGGGCAGCCTGGAGAAGAGAAGGCTCCTGAAGGGGAGACCTGAGAGCAGCTCCAGTGCCTGAAGGGGCTGCAGGAAAGCTGGAGAGGGGCTTGGGACAAGGGATGTAGGGACAGGCCAAGGGGAATGGCTTTAACCTGCCAGAGGGGAGACTGAGATGAGCTCTTAGGCAGAAGCTCTTCCCTGTGAGGGTGCTGAGGCGCTGGCACAGGGTGCCCAGAGAAGCTGTGGCTGCCCCATCCCTGGCAGTGTTCAAGGCCAGGTTGGACACAGGGGCTTGGAGCAAGCTGCTCTAGTGGAAGGGGTCCCTGCCCGTGGCAGGGGCTGGAAATGGAGGAGCTTTAAGGTCCCTTCCAAGCCAAACCAAAGCCCTTGCTTCCATGGATCCCTGCAGCCAGGGGGTACTCACAGCCGGCCAGGACGGTGGTGCCGCACACGAGCTGGTACATGTTGGTGTTGGGGCAGCGGGCGAAGCAGGTCACGCTCCCAAAGGGCATCCGGAACTCCCGCAGCCGGAGCTGGACGCTGCTGCTGTTGAGGGGGGCTGGGGTCCCCTCAGCGTGGCTGTAGTTGAAGAAGATGCGGAACTTGGCCCAGGGGCAGCCGAGGGTGGAGATGCAGTTGATGGAGATGTTGGTGCCCATCCGCACCACCGGAGCGGGCTCGATCCAGACGTGTCCCGAGCACCTGATGTTGGCAACCCCTGCACCAGCATCCGCTGAGTCAGGGCAGCTCCGGGTGGGAGCAGGGGATGCTCATGGGCTGCTCTGCTGGGATGCAGGCAGCAGCCCGCCAGGACCCACAGTGGGGGCCGTCCCTTTGCTCCCCTCTGGGATGGGGATAAACCCCTTTGCCTTCAGCACAACCCAGCACCCCCTGACTCCTCCCCTCTGCTCACAACCCCTCCTTTCACCAGCGCTGGTTCTGCTCTAACGTTCAAGGGAAATAACCTGTTGTCTCGAGATCTCTGATCCCCTGAGATTAGGGCAGCAGCCCCTGCGCCGCTCCTCGCTATCAGATGAGAGCTCTGCACTGTATCCGGCTCCTTTTGCCTTCCTGGAACCAGTGTGCTCTGGCTCTATCTGTGCAAAGGCAGGACCACGTTGCAGCTGGATGTGACCCCACTCCAAGGATGTGAGTGGGAAGAAAAGGGTGCAATGGGAGCTCCCTGCAGCGCTAACGAAGCATTCCCCCTAAACCCGTGGCTGTAGCTGCATCCTTTTCCTTCTCCCGCTCCAGTTCCCTGTAGGTCCACGGTGTTTGATCAGTGGTCGGTGGCGGTGATGCCCCTTACCTGCACACAGGCAGCAGAGCAGGATGTGCAGTGCCAAAGCCTTGCTGGACCCCGCCATGGCCTGGGCTGTGCTCACTGCCCGCACGTGGCATAGTCTGGAGGGAGGAAAGGTGGGAGCTGTCACACCGGGAACACCGCTGCCCCGTGCAGCCGCGTCCGCCCTCAGCCTGGGATGCGCAGGGACCATCCCGGAGGCGGCAATGGGGATGCGTGGCAAGGATTTCCCTGGGGCTCTGGGGTCAGGCAAGGCTGTGCTCACAGGAGGAGGGGGGGGGAATGAGCCCGTGGGCAGTCGGGGATTGAGAACCCCAGTGTCTGCCCCCGGGAGCAGCCCCGAGGCCACTTTCCCCATCTCCAGTGGTATTCCTCTTGGTTCTCCTATCTGTGGAATTTCCCCAGTCCTTCACTCCTGCTCACACAGAAGCACATTCCTGCAGCCTTTGGTAACCCAGGGCACGGAGAAAGATGAAGGGAAGTATCCTAGAACCAACCAGGCGGGAAAAGCCCTTCAAGCTCACCCAGTCCAACCGTTCCCCAGCCCTGCCACGGCCACCACTGCCCCATGGCACTGAGGCCTCCCCTCCACGCTGTGTGAACACTCGCAGGGACGGTGCCTGCAGCCCTGCCCTGGGCAGCCTGTTCCAATGCCTGAGCACCCTCTGGGGCAGGAATTGTTCCTCAGCTCCATCTAAACCTGCCCTGGGGCAGCTTGAGGCCGGTTCCTCTTGTCCCATCCCTTGTTCCTTGGGAGCAGAGCCCAGCCCCTCCTGGCTCCATCCTCCTCTCAGGCACTTGTAGGGAGCCATCAGGTCCCCCCTGAGCCTTCTCTTCTCCACACTGAACCCCCCAGGTCCCTCAGCCCTTCCCCATCACACTTACACAGGTGTCTGATGGTGGAGTAGAGCTACGGGAGCCAGGCTCCTGCCAGTGGAGCCCAGGGACAGGACAGGAGGCAATGGGCTCACCCTGAAGATGTGGAATTCCCCATTTCCACAGTTAAACACAAGAAAAGGCACTTTAAGGGTGGCCACACAAGGGGCTGGCCGCCCTGAGGGCTTTCCCTGCAGTCTGCACCCCTGGAGATGCTCAGACCTCACCAGACATGGTTTTGTGGAACAGAAGCTTTCCCCATCCTCACATCATCCTTCCCACCCCTTTGCTGTGGCAGCTCCTGCCCCAGACAAGCCGTTTCCAGACCCCCAGGCAAGGAATTCCCCTCTTTCCCAAGAAGCCACACTTCCATCCCACATCCCGCCTGAATTTTAACCTGCTCCCTTCGCCTCCCTCCCCAGCCTCTTTGGATTCACCCAACAAGGCGAAACCCCCTCAAAGGGGAAGCCCAGCCCCATGGGGCTCAATGGCTTTGGAGCAGCACAAGGACACAGCTCCTGGAGCTGAAATCAGAGCCAAGCCTTCCATAGGGCTCCCATAGTTTTCTTTTTAAGGCAGCAATAACTAAAATCATAGAAGCAGATTGGGTTGGGTTGGAAAGGCCCCGAAGATGCTCCAGCTCCAGCCCTCCGGGTCGGATGGCAGGGATGCCTCAAACTAGAGACAGAGACTAGAAATGACTGGAGCCATAGACTAGAACTAGAGACACACACCAGCAATAGCCCCCGGCACAATCTGATGTTACAGACGAGTTTCCCCTTGAGGAAGACACTGACCCAGAGTCACACCAGCTGCAACGCCTTCAAAATGCTCTTGTTCAACCCAAACCGGGCTCCGAACGCCAGCGAGGGCTGCTGTGTTTCCCTGCTCCGTGAGCTGACCCCATTTGGTTTAAGGGCTGTTGAAGTATTCATGAATGAGTCAAATTTCAAGCGCTTTCCTATTACCTGACCCACTAAAAGAGCTTGAAGGGCCTCCCAGTCGCCTGCAAACGTGCAAGTTAAAACAAATGGGGGGGGGAAGCATCAACCCCAACCTTGTGCTGTATGAAAAGAGTTGAAAATGCAGCAAATCTGCCCCACTGCCAGCCCTGGGACGGGATTGCAGCGCTGCCTCCCCTGGGATTGCTCACATGTGGTTGTATTCCAGTTTATAGGCATGTGCAAGCTCCGAAGCCAGGTGGAACGGGACCGTTCCCCTTGTTGGAGAGGTGACAGTCTGCTCTCGTCCCTGTTAAAGGCTCCTTGTACATCAGTGCTGAAGAAATGCAAACTGCAGGAGGAAAGAGCTGTCCCGCTTGTGCAACCCGCACCATGCGAAGCCTTCGCTGGCAGCGGGTCTCGGACCCAAGTAAGACACTGAAGCAGCAGCTGACACACACAAAGAGGGGTTTTGGGTTCGGGATCCAGGTGGGAGCAGGCAGGAAGCTGGGAAGAGCAGGGAGGGGGGGTTCTTACCTTGCCAGCGCTCAGGACGTGCTGCCGGGCCCCTGTGCCTGGGGCTGGGGCTGCCGAGCGCTGTGAGAAGCATGAGCAAGTGCGAGCCTGACCTAGATAGAGAAGCTGAGAGTTTCCAGTGTGAGTCAGTCCATGGGGAAACCCAGCATCCCCTAAAGAGGAGCCCCGGGGGGAAGGGCTTCCTTTGCTCCTTCAGTGTTCAGAGAATCTGGAGCCACCCCGGCAAAGTGAAGCCCATCCCAAGTGGATTTAGGATGGAGTCAAGGAGCACAAGGTGGCAGGAGCTCAGTGAAGGAGCCCCACCAGTAAAAGAACGTGGTTTTGCTAATACCAGGAGCACACAATGAAAACCTCCTTAAGGGCTGAGGTTGTTGTCACCCCCTCTGCTCGTGCTGGTCCTAAGGGGATGCTGATGGACCACAGAGCCCCTGCTCCCAAACCAGCCCCACTGCAGAGCCCGGGGCTTCCTCTTTCATGTCGGTTGAAGAGTTAACCTCAGTAACAGTGTTAACCTCATTAGAGTGCTGCAACCACAGGAAATACCACACTGCTCGCCCGCCTCTGCCCTCAGAGGAGGAAACACTGGGGACCTGAATTCCCCCCTCTCTCTGCCACAGACCTGAGCTGCTCCGGGTCTGGAATGGTCCATGGGGGTTTTTTCCACAGTGTGGAAGCAAAGGATGGGTGAAAGCAAGAGCATCCATCTGCTACCACCATGGCATTGGAGCCTCACCGTACGCTGGAACCATAATGTGGAGTTAGGGTAACCTATATAACCCTGCTGTGCATGGAGCTGTACGCACCCCGAGCAAGATGGGGAGGGGGGATTCTTTGCGTTATGGAAGTGTTTAATGCCTGTTGTAAGGAAAGGATTTGTATGGATCTCTCAAAACCAGTTTTGGGAGGCAGAGGGGTTGGCCTTTGCTGTGGCTCGGGGGTGCTGGCACGGAGGGCACTGAGCCAAGGAGGACCCCAGGGGAATCCCAGCCCGTCTGCAGAGCTGCTGGGGCTGGGGAGGACACCCTGTGGGGCACACATCTGGGGACAGGGCTGCACATCCGGGCCTGGAACAAGCACGTGTGAACCAGGTTATAACATCTGGATCCGGGGCGGCACTGCGGGGCTGCACATCTGGAGATGGGACAGCGCCAAGGGTGAGCACATCTGGCTCAGATAGCGCACTAGGAGCCAGGCAATGTGGGTGCTGGCATCTGGAGCCAGGGTGGCACATCTGGAGCTGGCAGGGCCCATTTAGTGCCGGCACAGCACATCTGGGTGTGCTGCCGTGTGTCTCCAGCCACGGAGCATTGCAGCTGCTCCCCAGCACCCATCCAGCCTCAGCCCTTTCCCAGAAGGGGTGTCGCAACCCCCCCATGCTGCTGGTTCCTCTATGTCCCAGCCCATCACCGGTCTGTCTGGTGCCGGTTAAACTCATGTCTCCTCATGGTTTCCTGAGCAGCCACTGGGAGCTGCGGCTCCGAGCCCCGATGCAGCCAGGCCTTGGGCAGGAGGGGAGCAGCAGGAATGCTCCTGCAGGGCCCTTTCCCATGGCTTTCTCTTTCCCACCCTCAGAAATTCCAGCTTTCCAAAGCCCACCGTGCACGTGGCTCCCCTTGGGGCTCTTGGTGATTTGCTCAGATCCCCTTCATACCTGGAGCCAGGCTGAGAGAGCTGGGCTGGGGCAGCCTGGAGAAGAGAAGGCTCCTGAAGGGGAGACCTGAGAGCAGCTCCAGTGCCTGAAGGGGCTGCAGGAAAGCTGGAGAGGGGCTTGGGACAAGGGATGTAGGGACAGGCCAAGGGGAATGGCTTTAACCTGCCCGAGGGGAGACTGAGCTGAGCTCTTAGGCAGAAGCTCTTCCCCGGGAGGGTGCTGAGGCGCTGGCACAGTGATTCCATGGTTCTGCATCCAAAGATGGGAATACCTCACCAGCATTTCGCTGCCACAGAGCGTCCCTCCAGAGGCTGGCACGGCACAACATGGCACAGCACAGCAGGGCAGGCTTCTCCCAGCACGCCCCAGGATGGTGCCTTCACTCCTCGATGCCTGTTTCCATCGGGATCATCAGGATGTTCCCAGCCTGTTTCCAGCTTTCCATGCGCTGGGGTGCACCCACAGGCAGGGCGATGTGGGGCCTCTGCTCTGAGCGGCTGCACAGCCTCTGCAGCCGATTGCATCTCAGACACTTCCTCACTGCCGGCACAGACCTGCCTGCTCCTGGCCCCGCACCAGCACCGGATCCAAATCCTGCCATGGCCTCTAGACCTTCCCTCTGCCTCACCCCGGGCTATGGAACCCCTTTTATCCCTCCTCACCCGGGGGTGTGCACAGCACCCCGGGCTCACAGCCAGTTTGGCACCGGGGAAGCCCTCTGCCTGCGCCGGTGGCCAAATGGGATTAAGTGGGATTAATGGAACGTTTGTGATCCGTGGTGGGCTCGTCGCTGGCTGGGAACGCTGCAATCACTGCACTGAGTCACAGGCTTGGTTTAGCAGGAAGGAAAGGTCAAGCCAGGGCGGGATTTGCTGCCAAAGTGAACACTTGTGTCATACCCAGAGTTGTGCTTGGCACTGGGGACACTGGACATGGGTACGGCCATCACGAGCACCGAACACCCTTCTCCCCACGTCTGCATCTCTACAGCTGCATCTTCTGCTGCCAACAGAGCCCATCCATTCAAAGGGTCCAAATGTTTGACCCTAAACCCACCATCGTGACGTCTGTGCTGTGGATGCTGCTGGGGGATGAGGGTGCTGCACCCATAGGGGTTTCCTGAACCCTGATGGGGTTCCCCATGTGCCAGCAGCTCTGTCAATCACTGCGGGGTCAATGGGGATGGATGTGCTGGCGGGAGGGCAGGCTTGGGAATAGGGGCCGCTTGCGTCAATCCCTTGGCTCTGGGGCCAGGGCAGGATTAGGTTCCTCTGTGCTGCTGGAGGAGTAAATATTTCCAGGTCCAAGCCCGTGCTGCAGCTTGATAAGGATGGACAGGACCTAGGGCAGGAATGAGGAAGGTGGTGCCAAGGAGAGAGCCTTTGAGTGTGGTTCTTGGCCGGGCTCAAAGGGCATCCTCAGTATGGGAAAGGTGCTCCTGGGGCTTAAAGTCGCCCTTGTTCTTGCTGCAGCTCAGTGTGAGCCGTGCTCCTCCTGCTCCCCTTCGCAGGGAGTGGGGTGGCAGCAGGGATGTGGAATAAGAAAGGAGTTTGCCAGGAAAAGGAAAGGGAAGTTTGGGCAGAGGTTTTGCTTTCAGCCCGCAATGGCAGGGAGGGGAGCGTGCCGGGGCGAGCAGCAGCTCGTGCCGTGGGGTGATGTTGCTCCATTTGATGCTGGAGGGTTGGTTGTGCCGGGGCAGGTCTGGATGAGCAGGGAGATAATTGGGAATAGAAAGCTTTCCAAAAGGGGATGTTTCCTCTGCCAACAGTGCCATGGCCAAGGGCAACAAATACCCGCAGCCACTTTACCTCCAAAGCGCTGCGGCCGCTGGGCTGGGCCCATCCCACTTTAGTTCGTAGAATCACGGAACGGTTTGGGTTGAAGGGACCTCAAAGTTCCTCCAGCTCCAACCCCTGCCACAGGCAGGGACCCCTTCCACTAGAGCAGCTTGCTCCAAGCCCCTGTGTCCAACCTGGCCTTGAACACTGCCAGGGATGGGGCAGCCACAGCTTCTCTGGGCACCCTGTGCCAGCGCCTCAGCACCCTCCCAGGGAAGAGCTTCTGCCTAAGAGCTCAGCTCAGTCTCCCCTCGGGCAGGTTCAAGCCATTCCCTCCAGCAGTACCCCCCCCCCCCCCCCCCAGGCCCCTGTGCAACGCCTTCCCCTCCACCCTGGCTGCTGTGTGATGACCCCCTATGCCAAGCCCCCCATGCAATGCCCCCCATGCCATGCCTCCCATGCCAAAGCCCCAATGCAATGCCCACATGCAATGCTCCCCATGCCATTCCCCCATGCCATGCCCCACATGCCAAGCCCCCCATGCAATGCCCCCATGCAATGCCCCCCATGCCATGCCTCCCATGCCAAACCCCCAATGCAATGCCCCCCATGCAATGCCCCCCATGCAATGCCGTGCCCCCCATGCCATGTCCCCCATGCAATGCCCCCCATGCAATGCCGTGCCCCCCATGCCAAACCCCCAATGCAATGCTCACATGCAATGTCCCCCATGCCAAGCCCCCCATGCCATGCCCCTCATGCCGTGCCCCCCATGCAATGCCCCCATGCAACACCATGCCCCCCAAGCCAGACCCCCGTGCAATGTCCCCCATGCCGTGCCCCCCAAGCCAAGCCCCCTATGCCAACCCCCCCGTGCAATGCCCCCATGCAATGCTGTGCCCCCCATGCCAAACCCCCAATGCAATGCCCCCCATGCCATGCCCCCCGTGCCATGCCTCCCATGCCAAACCCCCAATGCAGTGCCCACATGCAATGCCCCCCATGCCGTGCCCCCCATGCAATGCCCCATACAACACCATGCCCCCCAAGCCAGACCCCCGTGCAACGTCCCCTGTGTGACCCCCCTTTACCAGACTCCAGTGTGACATCCCCCATACCCCCCAGACCCCTGCGCAGTGACTCCCTGCGCGGTCCCCCCCAGCAGACCCCGGTGCCGCACTCCCTGCTCCAGAGGGGGCACAATTCCCGGTGCAATTCCTTCCTCCCCCCACCAAAGATCCCCACGGAACGCTCCTCCCGTGCCGTGCCCCCCCCATGCGGTAACCTCGACCCCAGCCCCCAGCTCCCCGTGCACTGCCCTCCCCCACCGCCCCCCAAGCCCCGCCCCTCCCCCTCAAGCCCCGCCCCCTCCCTCCCCAAGCCCCGCCCCCCGCCGCCATGCCGCCGCGCAGACGCCCGGTGTCCGGTGCCGAGGGGGGCGCCCCCGCGGGAGCCCCCGCGCGCGGCGATGCGGAGCGGCGCATGGCGGGGTGCGCGCGGCCGCTGTCCGCGGCCTTCTACGGGCTCAGCTCCTGCCTCATCGTGGTGCTCAACAAGAGCGTGCTCAGCACCTACCGGTAACGCCCGCACCGGGCCTGCCCCCCCCCCCCCCCCCCCCCCGGCTCCTCTCCCCGGGTACCGCTCCGAGCCCCCCCCCCCCCCCCCATCCCAGTAGGGGTGACCCCTTCCTTCCCTTCCCCCCCGTGTAGGTGCCCCCCGTTCCTTCCTTCCCTGCTCAGTGGCCGTGTCCCTGTTTCCCTGTTCCTCCCCCCCCCCATCGCTGCTTCTCCCTTCCTTTTATCCCCCGTGATGTAGGTGCCCCCCTTCTTCCCTTTCACCCCCAATGCTGGGGCCCCTCTT